ATCCAACAGAATAAGCTTTTTTAACTTCCTGCTTGAACATGCTGCGACAAATAAGTTTTTCATTTCATTTGGATCCCTGTCAAAACTATCTAAAGATAATTCTTCAAGCATCGGTAATGACGATGTGAGATCTAATTCGTCTGTTTCGTGTGTTTTACAAGCACTTAATTTTAAAATCCGTAAGTTTTGACACTTCTCAAATATTGTCTTAATTGTGTACCTACTTGTTCTCCGCAGAGAAGCCTGTAAGCTTTCTAACTCGGGATGTTCGCTCACCAAATCCTGCAATTCAACATTCATGTTCTGTCGGTTCCAGACAATATTGGAATCTTCAAACCCTGGAAAGTCATCCGTATTCTGACATTCGACGACTGTTAGTTTTTTCAGCCTCGGTAAAGGTCGTATTGGAGGCAAATAAGAACATAGTTCTGAAAAGAGGCTTCTAGCCCACACAATAATTGTTACATGTGGATATTTTTCGAGCAGTTTACGGAAACAGGCAGGAGATACATTTGTATCAACAGTATAAATCGCTTTCAAATTCGGACATAAAATATCTTCTCTGAGAAATAAGAGAGGTCCGTTATACTCTTCATACATAGGTGCAAGACTCGACCGAAATGGCGATGGGTCACAGAATCTTTTCAAATAAAGTTTTTCAATGTTTGAGGCGAGATATTCGTCAGGTTCTTCTTCATTTATTTCTGAGTACTTCAATTCATCAATGTGTCTTCCTATCACGCGAACACGCTGTATGTATCCTTGTTCGTCTTTGGCCTCTTTGACCCATTTCAGAAGTCCACGTGTATTCCAAAAACACTTCCTGTCTCCCAAATCTCGCCAGTGAGTACAAACAGCTTTAACGTTCTTTACAATGTCATAAAATGACAGAAAGGAAAATATCAACACAAGAAGTTCTTCGGGTAGGTCAGATATTCCTGTAGGCATTGTAACTGAAATGAGATGATTGGTATTTTTAAAAGGTTAATCTGCATCTTTTCTTTATTATTATTTTAACATTTTAGTTATATAAAAAAAACGCTGCACTCGCAGAAAATACTTGCAAGTACTCAAAACTAAATTCAAAATATAAAATTGACCAGACCGCAAGGGCCTTGCAGAGGAGTATAGAATGCAACTTTAAAAAAATCATTGAAATTCAAATATATATGAAGAAATTATCTACCGTCAATCGTTCAAAACGTTTCAGTTTGGTCAATTTTGCAAATGTGTCAAACTGCAAGGTCAATAGGTCAAATATATTAATACTCAAAGAAAGAACGTGTCTTACGAAATCTACCTGTTAAGGTCAGACGACACGTTCCACAAATATATCTTTTGTATTTCTTGGTATTTAATATTAAAAAATATATATATGCATATTTGTCATTCTCTTGTGATTTCTACATTGTTTTCACTATGTTTTTTAATATAAGTACATTAAAAATTGTGATGTAGGCCATTCAGATGTTTACCCATATGGGATATATAAGAAATATCACCCTGTGGTGTCTTATCCAAATGCCTGGTAAGTTATCTTAATTTTTGTGAGGAAACTTGTTTAAGTACCTATACTTTAAAGACAAATTCTTGGAAAAAATTATATATTTTTGAGGAACATGTTGTTTGACCTTAAATATGAAAGCCCTAGCTCCAACCATTCAAAGGTTATAGGACAAGATTAGATTTTTTTTGACAATCAGACCCGTTGATAAACATTTAAAAACAGACGGAGAGGTAAAAATTAAATGTCCCTTTCTTCGAATACAGAGGCAGATAATGAATATAATATCATTTTAATTTAAAAGACACCCTTGTCAAAAAATCCTTCACAGTTCTTGCGTATTAGCAATTCTTTTGGAAAATTTAAAAATTGATTTTACACTTTTTTAAATTTCCCTTTTAAAATGTCTTTCAATTTTTAAATGACCAAATGCGAATGTCAAGGTCACTTTCTGAATTTGCAAATTTAAAGATATCTAAAAGTTTTTATATGTGTCTTTGCAAGATTAGAAAGCAATTACATTTTCTACCCTAGACTATGATGCACAACTTAATATATTTTCTTAATCGACATGGATATATAATTCACTTTAATTAAATCACTTTAAGGATTTTAGACTAAATGAAAAATCTTTTTAATTAAAATCTTATTTCGAATGAGATCATCAATTCTGGCGCACCAGGAACCGGTTGCATTTCGTTTAAATGAATGTTAATTTAACTGAAACTTTATCATACTCATTTAAATTTCTGAAACACTTTAATTCCTGTAAAAAAAAAATAATAAAACGTTCTTTCGTTATTAATCACGGTGAAAATGTTACTGTTGACTGAGGTGTTAAATAAAATTCATATGACAATAAAACTGATTGCTCCCATGCCAAGAAAAGGTTGGCATTCTATTCGGAGAGCGAACTCGGTAAAAGCCGAATTAATGTCATCAGTTTTGAGGGAGGGATCTTAAGTTTTACTGGATGTAAAAAATAGGTACAAAACTAATTATTTAGAAGCCTTTATTGCACCCCCTCTTTTTTTACGGGGAGGGGGGGGGGGGGTAATCTAAATGAAATACGTAAAAGAAGTAAATAAAAAAAAAAAGAAAGTTAAAAATTATTAATTATAGTAAACAAAATCTTCAGTAGAAATAAGCTGTCTTTTAATTTTTTACGTATTTCCATATAATTTTTTTCCCCTTAGTTTATACGTTGTATTTCCATTAGTGAAATCTTCAGAATTAGAGGCGCGTTTGGTCGTCTGACTGGGACAGCATGGCATTGCGGATAATACAAAACATGCCAGTATCAATCCAATTTTAAATGTTAAATGCATTTTTCATTCTAACTAAAGAATAGAAGAACGAGAAGACATATGAAAAAGAGCGAAAAACCTAACTTTATTGTCCATTGATAAAAATACGACATAATTCCGAGGTATGTGTATTGACTTTAAATGTACCATTACGATAAATAGATACATACGATCACCAATAAATGTAAATTAATATCCTTGTCATCTCTACTCTTGATTTAAATAAAGTCCACAGCAATAAAAGATTTCATATGCATTTTGTTAGGATTTGTTCATCGACATTCAACGTTTTGTTTATATGTTTATGTTACGTTACGAGAGCGCTAGCAATCAGTTACACTTTTATTGACTTCATCGGTGCGTAAATCGGACGAGATTTCTTGGCATGAGATGCTACAATTGCACCTCTTTCAAACTTCCATGCATACACATTTTTCATAGAATTAATTAGTGTCAGGTTTTGCTTTCCTTATCTATTTGGGTCGATATTTGTTTGAGCGGGAGAAATCACATCCGTAAACGTCCGAATAAGTACATTTTTCTCAGTTCGTGTTTGGAGTTTAAAGAAGCATAAATTCTAAAATGTAGATATCATACAAATTACTTACCAGTGCGATCAGTAAATGTAAACGACCAGCAAATGCAGCTCTTCTAAACAGTCGCAAAAATCCAACAAGCTTTCGAGGTCAAGAAAGGTAAAATATATATGGTGGACTGGTACAGCCAAAATTAAGTTTTTAATGACTAACGTATTCACCTTCATTCCATTGATGATAGAAAAGCATTTATCAGTTTTTAATTATTCATATCGGAAGATCCCCAAAGGTGATAAAAAATTCACAAACCATGGGTTCATAAAATCCTTTTTTATTGAACAGCTTGATGCCTAAGGCTGTAAATCAAACTGTCTCCAATGTTATGCTGCCAGAATAGTTAGCTTATTCAAAAAAAAAAAAGACAAGAAGATAAAGTCTTCTCCCATCTTAAAAAAATTCACACACATATTACTTAATAAACATTGAAATAAAAAAGATGATACATTTTCTAATGAATTTAATGACAAAAAAATGGGAAGAACCCCCATTAAACATCGAATCAACATATGTCACAGTCACATTGATTTTTAATAGATCAGTACACAAACTGTTGAAGCATTTGTTTTTTAAGGCCTTTCCATTGTGAAAAGCATATGCAGGACCCAAGCTGACGATCTAAAATATCAGCAAGCTCGATCAAACCAGGTACTCGTATGTTCGCTATGCCAATAAATTAGATTTAAACTTTATCTTTAAAAATTGAACCAGACAAGACAGAAATTCCATTTTTTTTTTTTTTTAAAGGAAGGGAGATATGAGTCAATGAAACAGACGGTAACCCTTAAAGCCCTTTGGCTTCTTGTTTTTTGGGTTTTTTTTTTCATTGACATTCACGTATTTCTGAGATCATTAAAATTTCGTCAAAGGTCAACATGTTCAAAAATATATATCTAACTTACAAAAGCTCCAAAACTATGTGGTTTATAAACATACATGTCATGCTTTCAATAACAGCCTTTCAGAGACCATTCAAGTCCAACTTGTCCTTCATTGATAAACATGCATATATGATTCCTGCAATTATGGTTTTTCACTTAAAGTACAGAATTAAGCAGGTGAATTTTATTTTGAATAGTTGTATGCAAATTTCTTGATACATTTTTTCTCAAAATATCTTATTTTTTCAATATTTGTTTTCATGTGATACTTTCTATCTGTTAACCAATGACATAATTACAAACTGTAAAAGTTTATACTAAACACCTCACATAGATTTGGATTTATTGTTAAAATAAATTGTGGACATGTTGATCTTTGACAAAACCTTAAAATGGTCAATCTTTCTGAACGTTGAACGTCTGCAATACGTGTAAACAAGACACAAAACGATAAATGACTGGTTATAGAAAATAGAATCATCCAAAAAATACTAAGTACATTCCTTTAAGGATGTGAAAATTACACAAATGAATGATAACGATGTAAAAATTAAAGGTCAATAGGATAATAAGTGGACTGCTTTTGAATGCCTGCTAGTATTTAAATTATCACTATAAATTACCATCGTAACACTAATAGAATTGCTAATGCGTTCAGTCAGAAATCATTTAATATGTAGAATTGTTACAAATCATCCAATGCTTAAACGAATGATTAGTCATATTTACTACATCTAGATGCAATGATAACGTAAGACGACAATTCGCCAAGAGTCATGAAAAATCCACAGTCTTCCTCGGAAAGCATACTTCTGATTATATCTGGCGTCAACTTTGCGGAAATATCCACTTTGAAATTAAGCTTAATTTCCTTCAAGTTCTTGCTACACACAAGGAAATTCCTTAAACCAGTGACTGAGACTTGTGAATAAGGAGAAAAAGAGAAAAACTCCAAACTTCGTTCAAGAAGATAATTCAAAGAAGCATTTGTCAAGTTTTCAATACCTTTCAAGTCCAAAACCTTCAGAAGTGTTAGTTGTCTGGATACAGCTGTTACACTCGTGTCTGATAACTTGAAGTTGTGGGCGAGATTTAGGTTTCTAATTTCTGGAAAATGTTTGCAGATCCTTAAAACATCAGAATCGCAGATTCTTCTACAATTGGAAAGATCCAGTTTTTGTATCCGAGAGCAATCGAATGGAGCTTGCAAATGATGGACTGCTGTAGGGTCTTTTGATAAGTCCCTGTCTTCTAAGTCGGTTAATTGAAATCCAGTTTGAGTCTCTTCATATTGATTACTTCGACTGCATTGCCTGATCATTTCATCTGTTAGCCCGTATAGAACTTTGATCTCGTTCTGGCCTTGAATGACTATAGGGCAGCACTTTGATTCGCTGTACGAATCCCATGATTCCCATGAGTTGTAGATTTCAATACAATCACACTTAGTACCAACTGCTGCCACATTTTCAAACAGAGAGGAAATAGAAACTTCTGGAAAGCTATCATCATTTCGAAGAATCTCTTTTACAAATGGACAGCTGTGCATCTGGACTTCCTGAAGTCTCGGACAATTTATAACCAAACAATAAAACCCGAAACCAGTAATATGATAACAGTTACAAAGATTGACAAAGCAAAGGCCATGACAATGCCGAGACAGCTCCATAATTCCATAGTCCGTGATTCCTAAACATCCCTCAAAATCGACCTTCTTCAGTTGAATACATCCTCGTGAAAGAGCAAGAATTCCTTCGTCGGTAACCGCTGATTTATCTGAGTAACAAATGCACAGATCTTGGAGGTTTCTACAATTGGACATATATTCCAGAGCCTTGTTGTTTATGAAAGTATTTTTCCAATGTTTCAAGAAAAAGCTTAGGTCCATTTCCGTGTCGTCAAAGTTTCGCTTAGCTACAGCAAACTGTTCTAGAAGAGGACATTCTTTGCTGATGTAATTGTACATCTCCTCCGTAACGTTCATACTGTTTAAGAGGGAAATTCTTTTTAATTTTGGACTTTTACAAGCAGCAACAAATAAGTTTTTCATTTCTCTTGGGTTTCTGTCAAAGTTATTTAAAAATAATTCTTCAAGTATCGGCAATGTCGATGTGAGTTCTAGTTCATCGGTTTTAAAAGTACTTATCTTTAAAACCCGTAGATTCTGACATGTCTCAAATATTGTCTTAATTGTGCGGCCACTCGTACTGCGTAAGGAAACATGCAAGAATTCTAACTCTGGGTGTGTCTTGACCAAATCCTGCAAATATCCATTTCTGTTTTGTCTGTTGTAGTTAATGTTGGAGATGTCAATTTCTGGAAAATCTTCTGTATCATGGCATTCGAGAACCGTAAGGTTTTCAATTTTGGGCAATTGTTGAATTGAAGGTAAATAAGCACATAGTTCTGAGAAAAGACTCCTGGCCCACACAATAGTTGTAACCTGTGGATATTTCTCAAGCAGTTTCCGAAAACTTGTCGGAGATATGTTACTATCAACAGAAGATATTGCTTTCAAATTCGGACAGAGAATGTCTTTTCTTAGAAATAGAAGTGGTCCGTTATATTCATAATATGTAAAGTACTTGTGAAATGGTGATGGTTCGCAGAATCTTTTCAAATAAAGTTTTTCAATGTTTGAGGCAAGATGTTCGTCAGGTTCGAATTCGTCGTCATTTATTTCTGAGTACTTCAATTCATCAATGTGTCTTGCTATCCCGCGGACACGCTGTATATATCCTTGTTCGTCTTTGGCCTCATTTACCCATTTCAGAAGTCCACGTGTATTCCAAAGACACTTCCGGTCTCCCAAATTTCGCCAGTGAGTACACACAGCTTTAACGTTCTTTATAATGTCATAAAATGACAGAAAAGAAAATATCATCACAAGAAGTTCATTCGGTAGGTCAGATATCCCAACAGGCATTGTAACTGAAATGAGGAAATTGATATTTCTTTAAAGGTTAATTAAGTACATATAAGAAATAAATCAAAAAGTCCATCAGGTCAAAAATCCTCGCGGACCTTGTGCCAAAATCTGGAAACTGTTCATATCTTTTCTCTGAAACGGCTTTTGTTAGGGAGTCACGAACAACTTTATGACATCATGCTGTTCCACAAAAATGTCCTACATAAGGTCATCTATAAAAAAAAAACTGATTTGTTTGCCTTCTCCCAACCGACTGGCTATAAATGGGCCACCTAATTTTTTTTTAACCTTCAGTCTACGATATTTTTTTTATTTTACCCCTCAACGTTGTCGGGAGAAAGAAAACAAAAAATATTTATCAGTGGTCTCGCACTTTTCTTTCTTTGCTACTTAAGGTTCATAAACCCTCTGCTCATTCATATAAAATGTTGCGTGAACCTTAGTGATTTTTCAAAAGAAATGTATTTTATAAGTAAAATACAAACAACTATAACATAGCTTGCGGGGAAAATTGGACAAAAAAGACACTTTAACTTGGCAAATTTATAGAGGAATAAATAAATAGACATTTATGTCATAAAGGTTTCGTCAAAGGTCAACATGTCTAAAAAATTATTTTTACAATTGCTCCAAAACTATGTGTGGTATGAAGTCAAAACGTTTACATTTTGTAAATATATCACTAATTAATAGATAGAAAGTGTACTTGATAACAAATATTTTTAAAAAGATACCTTTTGAGAAAAATTGTATCAGAAAATGTGCATATTTTAAAAAAATGTACCTGCTTAATTCTGTCCTTTTTGTGAAAACCAACATTGTAGAAATAATATATGTTTATCATTGAAGGGCAAGTTGGACGTGAATGGTCTCTGAAAGGCTGTTATTGAAAGCATGACATGTATAAAGACAAGGCCCCTATAGAATCCGCCATTTGCAGTGTACTTTTACTTTCAAGTTTTAACATTTGAACAAAATAAACAGGGAAAACAACTTTCCAGAGGCTATCCAAGCCCAACTTGTCCTTCATTGATAAACATATTTTGTTTCTGCAATGATGGTTTTCACTAAAAGCATGGAATTAATTAGGTGTATTTTTTGGAAAATATATGCATTTTTAAGTAGAATTTTTCTCATTTAATATTATTCCAAGCATTTTTTTTATCAAGTGATACTTTCTATCTGTTAATCAATAAATAATTTATAAACTGTAAAAGCTTTAACTTTATACCTTACATAGTTTTGGGACTATTGTAAAAATAAATCTTCGGACATGTTGACCTTTGACGAAACCTTAAGAGTTATCCCTCTTATCAGAGTATCAATGTACTTTAAGAAGAAAGCAAGTTGTGAAGAAGTTTAATCACCAGGGGGTCGTAACATAAAGCTTGCTAAGTTTTCGACTTGAGTAGGGTCATAAGTGTGTTTTAGGCACAATTCAAGGACCTGTCTAAATACTACTTAAGTATGTCTTAAACCGTAACATAAAACGAACTTTGTGAGGTGTTAGCTAAGTCAAAACTTAAGTTCACAATTTTTCTCATGAATCATGCTAGTTTTTCAATTTATATACTTGCAGGATAATAAATATTCAGTTATACTTTTTGTTATATATAAAATTGATTTCTTTTCTTAAATTTTAGAAAGGTCATTATATTTCGTATTATAATCATAGCTCACAGTCCCTCTAGTCTAGTTTAAATCGCTAGGAGGATTTGTGTAAATTTCTAGATACCCGGTGCCCCCATGTTCATCAATTCTGGCTCCTCCAGAAGAGTATTATTTCGTTCTATTGATCGTTTTTATTTATCAAAGGCTATAGCATGATCATTATATCTTATCAACCATTAATTTTTAAAAATACATTATTCTAAACTGTTATGGATATAAGGTAATTGGCATTAAATGATCGCATTGTAGGTGTACAATCAAAATAAGTTCCAAGAAACAATTGTTTTATCACCGCTTCAAGGACATACGCAATGGATTTTGAATTTATTGTCAACTTCCCTGGAGTTCAACTAAGTAAGTCAAAGATGCTTTGCAATGCTTTTAATGTCTATATATATATGGTGTTGTACACCTCTTCTAAAACAAATTTGGATGGGGAATAAATAGAATTTATTTATTTGTAAATTTTGTATATTTTTCTTTGACTAATGCAAGAATTTTCATCATTAGATATCTGTTCAAAACCCCTGGTAACACATGTCTAAGAACATGCATGGGTACTGAAATTTTTAAGAAGATGGGCGCATTTGGCGTGTGATCTGCAGGAATTATTTGTACGAAACATTTATGGTTTAAATGTCCATAATTTGGTTGGCTGAACATAGCTGGTCAGGTTTTACAAACACGTCCATTGGTTTTTTTTTATTTAGTTTGAAAGAACTTGTGAGATTGTAACATTTATGTCTTTTTTCCTAAGGGGTACTATAACATAGTAATGTTTCACAAAAAATAAACACCCAAAAAATTTAATACATAGATGCATGATACGTGTACCTGTCATTATAGAATAGAAGATCGAAATTGATTTCGCTCGAGAACCAAACTGAACCAAAATTTATCTAATACAAAATTTTAATACGTAAGTACATAAATCGAAACTGACAAAAAAAAATGCTTGTTTGCATGAAAAAAAATTAAGGCCCATGCCAGGCTCGAACCAAAAGATTTCGCTTCGAGTGCACCGAACAGGTAGCCAAACTTACTGAGCTATCAACAAACATACAGATGATTTTAATAGGACAAAGAAGCACCACATTCACACATTTGGATTTTTTGGGAAAAAGTTCATTTTCGTGGTCTCTGGGTCTTCTCTCCATTTTTTAAAAATGTGTCTTAGTTTCTCTGAATTAAAATACACACAAATAATTCTTCAAAATCATGGAGAGAAGACCCAGAGATAGAAAATTTTTAGAAAAACGTGTTTAAAAATGTACAATTTTGTACCAAATGTCTGATCTGGCCAATTTTCAAGTTATTTTTTAGCAAATCAAAGGCTCAATTTCAGGGGGGAAAAATTCCTTTCCTGTTGCACAGGAACTCGATAAATGAAAAAAATGTTAAAATTTCATGTGACATGTCGGTAAAATTTTCACTTTTCAATTACACCCAGATTCCTGCCGAATGCCAATCAAAAGCGCCCTCGTTCTTTAATAGTAGAATATCTTGAAAAATTATCAGTTGGTAAGGTAGGTTGCTTATGTCCTTAAAACATAGGGGTCTGTGTCGTATTGTCATGCAATAAATGTGCTATACATTTGAATACTCGGATGTAGTCGTTGAAGATTTCCTTAAAGGTCAACCTGTCCAAAAATTTATTTTTACAATAGCTCCGAAACTATGTGGTTTATAATGTTAAAACTTTGACAGTTTATAAATTATACACCATTGATTAACAGATAGAAAGTATCACTTGATAACAAATACTTAGAAAAAATATTTATCAAGAAAAATTCTTTATAAAAAATGCATTTATTTAGAAAAAACAACAAATAATTCATTCTGTGCGTTTAGTGAAAGCCATCATTGCAGAAACAATAAATGTGTATCAATGAAAGGCTAGTTGGACTTTGATAGTCTCTGGTAAGTTATTTTCTGTGTTAATTTTATCCAAATGTTTAGATCTGAACTGAAAGTACATTGCAAATGGCCAATTATGTAGGGGTCTGTCTTTACACCTACATCTACATAGTACAGCGTTCCCTCAAACCTGATGATTATACGCTGGCCCTGCACAAACGGACCTCTAAAAAAAGTATATGAAAAAAAACGAAGTGCCATGGAAAGTTTAAATAAACTAAGTGCTATGGAAAACAATTTACATTGTGCATGAAAAAGGTGTGTATATATATATATATAATTACATTGTGCTCTTATTAGCTCTATAAATATAAGAGTTATGGAACATGGCTTGTGACCAGAGTTCTGAACTGGTCCAGAGAGGCAGCTGCCACCACTGAGTGTGGAAGAGAATTCCACAAAGTCACTGTATGTGCACATTATGTCATGTTCAATAACAGCCTTGTAGAGACCATTCACGTCAAACT